AACTTGGAGGAAGAGAGGACATGGCAAAGGTCTGAGAGCTGGTGGCATCACCAGAGGCAGGGCAGGCTTGGATGAGAGTCCCCAAGATGCCAGCAAAGGGATAGTGACCCTTGGTGGGAATAGATGGAAAGACATAAAGAAGGAAAGATGAGGCAGGAAGAGAGGTTTTCTTCAAACTATTTGCCCCTGCTCCAAAACCCCAGGCCAAATTTGCCAGCCCACCACTGAGTAAAGAAGGTTGGGGAAGGTTTGGGTATTTCTGCCCAAATCAAACTGTTGCTACAGGTCATAGCTGCAGAGATTTTATGATCCTGTCCATATTTTTGTAAATTTTCAGCCTTTAAAAGTATGAAAGAGGCCAGGCATGATAGTGCACACCTTTAGTCCCAGCACTTGGGAGGCAGAGACAAAGAGATCTCAGTGAGTTCAAGGTCAGCCTGGTTTATTCAGTGAGTTCCAGGACAGCCAGGGCTTCATAACAGAGAGACTCTGTCTCAAAAACAAACAAATGTATGAAAGAGTCAGGCATGGTGATGCAGGTCTGTGATCCTAGCTACTCAGAAGGCTGGGCCAGAAGGAGTGCAGGCTAAGGCCAGACTGGGCAACTTTGGGAGATATTGTCTCAAAATAATAGTAAAAAGAAGGCTCAGTGTTGTCTTAGTTACTTCTTGTTGCTGGGATAAAATACAATGGAAGCAACATAAAGAAAGAAGGAGTGGTTTATCCTGGCTCACAGTTAAGATCACAGTCCATCGTAGCAGGGAAGTCACGGCCGCAGAAGCTTAATGCAGCTGATCATGTGGCATCTGCAGTCAGGAAGCAATAGGAGTGCTTGAGTTCAGCTTACTCTCTCGTTTTCTCCAGTATCCCAACTAGGAAAAGGTGTCACCCACCGTGGGTGAATCGTAAGCGTGCCCAGTCAGGCCTCCTGGGTGATCCTGGATCTCATCAGGTTGACAGTTGAGACGAATTATCACAGGAATACAGCTCAATGACAGACTGTTTGCCTAGACTGCATGAGAGCCTAGGTTCAATCACCAGCACTGCGGGGTGAGAGGAGTACTGAAAACATGAGTTGATAGACTAGAACCAAAGCTGTGAACATACTCAAGCCTTGAGAGGAAAACTCTACAAGAACACACAGTAGACAATCCATCACAATAATGACCATTAACTGCACAAGGACTTTCTATCTGGACATGCAAAGTACACTTATATTCAGTACTTTATTTAATCCTCAGAATCGTACTTGGAAGGAGCAGTATCCCACTGCTCAGATGGGGCAAGGAATGCACCTAGATGGAGAAGCTACCATAAAGGAGAAATTATTATAATGAGCTACATATTCATCCAGTGAATGACTAACCAACTGAGTCACTCAATTAAGAGTGTCCTGTGGGAATGAAAGTTGCCAAAATAACCAAGGTTCCCCCAAACGCCTGAGTCCTGACAAAGTACTTTTTTATACACTATCTCTCGATCTTAGCACAATTTGGCAATGGAGACATTTTTTTTTCTTCCTATAGATAAGAAAATGGGTAAGAGAAAGAGTACATGACTCACTCGTGGTCTCTCGGCTGGTAAGAATAGACTGGAATAAGATTCAATCCATGAAAGGCTCCAAGCCCAGGAAGACAGCATCCTAGCCTATATCAAGTCTTGAGAGGAGGAAAGGCTTTGTTGCTGTGATCCTGGCAACCGGGAGATGTGACAGCAGCAGAGAAGGAGCAGAGGGGAGCAAGAGCAGGCCTAAACGGTGGCATTGGAGCCGCTGAGAGAAACCTTCCTGGTCCCTTCCACTGGGGATTGACCATGGCAATAAGACCCCTGGACACTGGAGCCTCGCTAGCCAACCTTCCTGCCCAGCCTCCAGCTGCCACCCCACAATGCCAACAACTCCTCTCCTGGAAGGATCCTGTGGAAGCCATTATGATAATGCAGTTCCTTGCTGACTTGCCTTTGGGAACACCAGGCAGATCCCTTGAGCCGGGCTTTCTTTGAATGGAAGAACTAGAGGAGATGCTGCCATGGTAACGCCGTTCCCCTGCCCATTTCTACCATCGCCGAGCTGGGGGAGATCCCTGGAGGAAGTGGTTCCCCACCTCCTTCACCAAGGCAGGAGAGATCGCCAAGGACACACAGATGGAGAGGAGCCTTAGGGAATGTTCCCTCTAGCCTGAAATGGCTGCTGAGGTTGTCATGGCAACCGGATCCTTTGCCCACCAAACCATGAAGGGGAGGGGAGCGGAAGGGCTGCCCGGGAGCCAGCCTGTGCCAGCGCAGCTCTCAGTTCCCACTTCAGCTGGCAGACTAGGAAGGGGAGGTCCACCTTATCCTGGAGCATCCCGGAAATCCATCTCAGGTATCTAGGACTAGGAGCAACCTCTCGTGAAAAGACAGTGCTAATTAAGGCAGGAGGTGAGAAGGAATGGTTAAACTAGGCATAGTGGTGCACACTGGGAATCCCAGCATACAGGAGGCTGAAGCAGGAGGATTGCAAGTTCAAGGAGCCCCTGTACTATGTAGTGAGAACTAGCCTCAAAAACAAAGAATAGCTACAAAAGATGTGGAGATGGCTACTTTTAATGTCAACAGTGACTTTGCCAATGCAAAGCATTTGGATTGCATGTGTCCAAAATGTCCCTTTTTTCCCTCTCTATTCTTAAATTGTCTTGGATTAATCCCTTAACTAGTAATAATATGTCAAATACTCACATCACTTTTGTCTATTAGCAGCAAGAAAAGGAGACCTGGGAAAGAGGAAACACCCCATCCTTCAAATAGGCTCAAATTGTCATCTCTAAGTCATATATATGTGTGCATGATCCATTATTAAAATGAGCTCCAGACTATTAAACCAATAAGCAAAATAAATAAAAATAGAATTATTCTAGAAACCAAAGTCAAGAGAGTCACAGTGTTGTTGACAAGAAATACAGCCTTTGGAAATGTCAGCCCTCTTGATCCACACTCCTAATCATTACTGCCTTCTATGAGACACATCTGGAGAGCAATGTGAGCCAGAGATGAACAAAACACACTGATAAAAATCTGATTGGTCTTTTTTATTATATTTCCTCTAATTGGGTCATTTTTATTCCTATCTGGGTTCAGAAAATTATTACTTGATCTATGATGCCGGCAGGTAATGTGTTAAGCCAGTTCACAGGCCATAGAGCTGCATTTGTACTAATAAGAAGGATTAGGATTCGTTTTTACCATCACTTTACTGTCTGTGACTGACACTGAGATGAGACAAAGTGCTGGTGACCATAAGAGACTGCCGAGGATACCCTTCCCTGCTCCTGGAAGAGCACAATTATAGCTGCCATTGTATCCCAGACACTGTTCCCTTTTCTTTGTGCTACACAGAGAAGTCAGTATTATCTCTGCACTGAAGCTAAGAAACATGAGTTTTGCTAAGACCACTTGAAGTAAGTATAAATTCCGGGCTCAAGCCCAGAGCTGGTACAAAGCCAAGATCTTTGCCAATAAGTGCTAACTTCCCTGGTGATTATGTACCACAGAAGCTGCCTACCCTGCAACTTATCTGGGTTGGTTGGAATAGGGTAATACAGATAAAACGGAGAGAAGTGTTATTAATTTCCTTCTCACACTTTTGTTTAGTCTCAGATTCTCCAACAATACCAACATTTGCTATGCCAGCTTCAGTCCCTCCCCTGCCTCCTCTGCTGCTGCTATTGTGCCCTGTCTGGGTGGTCTGATCATCTCAGCCCTGCCCCCGTCATCCTCTGATTTACATTTCATTTCAGTGCACATGGAACACCTGGTACTAAATGGACAAACCTGTTTTTGTTTCTGTTGAAACGATAAGAAAGAACATGAAGGGGGAAACAAATTCAAACCTCTAACAGCCTTACAAATCCACAGGGGATGTGAACCCACTACAGACCAACAGCTAATTGGGCTCTCCAATTATCTGTGCAAAAGAACTCCACCACCTACAAAATACACAAGTTAAAATCAGACACCATCTCTTACGTCTATCTTGTTTTATCCATCTGAATAGATATATTTACATGCATGCAAATACATCCTTCAACAAAAGTTGAAGTTGTGTTGGGACTGGATCTCGCATCCACTGAGGAAGATGTTTGTATGTGTGTGTGTATTCTTGTATATATATACTCATATACATTCACAGATACATATACACACATGCATGCACTCAGAATGTCTCCTGCCACTCGGGCCATTGACTTCGCTGCCTGCAAATTTATTCTGAAAAACGAAACAGGATACAAGATTTATGTAGACGCCAGTGACCATTGTTTTATAGTGGCAGCAACTACTAAAATGATTGAATGAACAGAATCTGAAGACATTAGGAAATGGCCACCCTCACATGCAAAGTAAACACTGCAAAATTGCATGTAGAGTACGATTCTGATCTTGTGAGAGAATTTATATATGAGAGGGGAGACGACAGTTAATTTTGAATGTCAGTTTGCTTACACTGAGAAATTCATAGGAGACTTAACAAGGGCTGTGTCTATGATGGCATCTCCAGATACTTAGATCAGGAGGGTTCTGACCTAGTGAGTGGGTTAAAGCCTGGGGATTCATATCCTGGTGGCATTATTGGGGGGGTACTGAAGGAACGTGGGTCACTGGGGATGTCCTTGGTGTAGCTCTGTCTTTTCTACTCTGTTCCCTCCCTGCAGTGAGGAAAAGAAACACACACACACACACACACACACACACACACACACACACACACACACACCCCTACTCTGCCACCATAACACTCCCTGAGTGCACCGGGCCAGGCATCGTCTGAAATCTCTGCGATCGTAAGCTATAATAGACAGCGCCCCCTTTTACATGGTGCCCCCCCAGCCCTTTTGTTCAATGCAGCAATAAACTGACTACGGCACACATACGTATTTGCCAAATACTTAACGTTTTTCTCCAGAAAATACAATATGGAAGGAAAGACACCAAACTCTGATAGCATTTTTATTTTGTGGGATTTTAATTCTTTAAATATGTTTTTCCTGAAATTTTAGCATCAGAATTAGCACTTCTACAGCCAGGAAAATAAATAATAGTTGTTGTTGTTGTTTTGGTTTTTCAAGACAGGGTTTCTCTGTGTAGTTTTGGTGACTGTCCTGGATCTTGCTCTGTAGCCCAGGCTGGCCTTGAACTCACAGAGATCCACCTGGCTCTGCCTCCCGAGTGCTGGGATTAAAGGCATGTGCCACCACTGCCGGGCAATACTAGTTTTCAAAAGTGCAAAGCAAAAAATAAATGAGCCAGCTTAGAATTCATTATGAGACTTTCCTCTCTCACTTCATTCTCAATAAATGGGGCTGACTGAAGCTTAGAGGAACAGCTCAGACTGGGTGTGGGACCCTGGGAAAGGGGATGACCTATCCATCTGGTTGATGAGACAGAGATTTCTACCTTTAGAATCTGGAAAAGGGAGCCCACTGTGGTGACTTGCACATTTAATCCCAGTACTCTAGAGGCAGAGTCAGGCAAATCTCTTTGAGATCAAGGCTGGTCTACATAGCTTATTCTGAAAAAAGAGGAGAATTTGGCCTTTGACGACTTGAGTGGAAACATTTAAGTGTAATATGAGCTATCTGGAATAAAGTAAGCCATCCTCCCTCAAAGGAAGAGGAAAGCTATGCCATTACCTGTGGTGCCTGTTTCTAACACATTCTTGAGCATAAACAGAGCATGATGGCCTACAGGAGCCGGGTCTTGGGGTAAAACCATACCAATGAGGAGTTGGCTGTGTGAGAGGGTCAGAGGAAGAACACTCTAGACATCTATGTCAGAGGTACCTCAAAGATACATAATACAACTAGCAGAAAATGGCTTCCATTATCAGCTGCACTCCCCGATGATGTGAGAGTCTCTCCATCCTGTGACACTGTTTTCTGTCCTTGACCATCCCAAACACGTGGAGACATTATCCATCAGCCTTCAGAAGAAGTGCAGCTAACAGCCGTGTTTCCTCGTCCTTCATTTGTCTCTGTTAGTAGTGTCCATGCAAACCTTCCTGAAATAGAAGCCAGCAAATTTCTTAAAACACCTCTTGATGAGTGGTCCTCTCCACTCCCTTTCCCATTGCTTTCCAAGTCTCTCGGAGAGAAAATAAAAGAATGTATCAAAATCCTTCTCCAGTCGATTTTATTTTGATTAGTTCTCCTCCTCCTCCTCCTGCTCCTCCTCCTCCTCCTCCTCCTCCTCCTCCTCCTCCTCCTCCTCCTCCTCCTCCTCCTCAAAAGCTACCTTTCCTGGTGGAGTATTTCCTTAACAAACCAAAAATAGCCCTTTTGTCAATATTACTAGGAGCTGAGATAAAAATATGCTCAATGCATTTTGATTATTCACGGACATAAAGAAGCCTTCCGAGAAGTCCATCACTGTCATGTGTTCAGAGAAGCAATCCTTTCTGGAGCAATATTTATTAAACGCTTCTGTGCACTGAGCCATCCCTCAGCATTCATGTGCTCCACATCCAATTCAGCCAGTGGAGTTTGAGAAGCAACACAGGTGAAGCCTGAAAGACACAGAGAGGGAGTGCATGGCAGGAGACAGGTTTTCCAAGCTTGCCTGAGGAAAGCCCATAGTAGAGACAGCGGAAAATTCCCTCATCCTGAGGCCCCAGAGCAGAGGCACACTAAGGATGGTTATGTAAGTGTGGTAAAGAAAGCCGGTCAGCGCCTGTTTCCCCCATAGAAGGAAAGTATCTGCTGAGTAGAAAAATTCCTGCATAACAAAGTGGCATCGACTATTTCTAGATACTGACGGGGTTTATTAAGAAAGAGTTGAACCCCTAGCATCACTCTGGGAGAGATTCTATACCAACAGCACACTATCCTGGGTGACTTGAACATAGGCTACTACAGAGAGGGAACATAGCATGCCCGGACTTGTTTATTTGGCAAGGAAAGCATCACCCAAAGTCTGGAGGACCTTTTTAAAGCAACAGATACACAAGTAGAAAAAAAATAAGGCTCATTTAAAGTATATAAGCAACTTTACACATAATACCCAGATTGTCCCAAATCCACTTATCACAGAAAAGACTCTAAACCCATTGTTTCTACAGAAGAGATCTGGCAAAGTCATTATTTAAGTTTGGGAGTTTGAATGATATCAGGACACAGAATAAAGACTCAGAAATTCTTGGGTTTAGTCAGCTATAGTCACAGGAAGTGATGTGGAAGCTTTTTTCTTTTTTTTAACTTTTAAAGTACATATTTATGTATTTTATTTATTCTTCTCTCATGCAATACATCCCAACACAGCCTCCTTTCCTCCACTTCTCCCACTCCATGTCCCCACTACCACTATGCCCTCCCCTCTCCTCCAGATCCACTGTTCCTCCATTTCCCTCCAGAAAAGAACATGCCTCTCAGGGATGTGAACAGACATGGCAAAAAAGGTGCAATAAGACTGGATACAAACCCTCATACCAAGGTTGAACAGGGCAACCCAGGAGGAGGAAAAGGGTCCCATGAGCAGGCAAAAGAGTCTAAGACACTCCAACTCCCACTGTTGGGAGTCCCACAAAAAACCCAAGCTAAACAACCACAGCATATTTGCAGAGGACCTAGTGCAGACCCATGCAGGCTCTGTGACTGCCTTTCAGTCTCTGTGAGCCCCTATGAGCACTGCTTAGTTGACTCTGTGGGCTGTGTTCTCCTGGTGTCCTCCAGCCCTCTGGCTCCTACAATCTTTCTCTCCCTCTTCCACAAGATTTCTCGAGCTCTGCTTAAAGTTTGGCTGTGGGTCTCTGCATCTGTGGGGCCTTTTATTTTCAATGTGCTGAAACATACTGGTAGAAGGAGATGGACGGTCTCATGAATCTATAACATGTATAGACAGAATTCCTGCACACAGCAGGTAAGCTCACCTCACTGACAAAGCAAGTCTGGCTCTGGGTCAGCCTGACTATTGGGGCCATTGCTTGCTGTCAGTCTTGTCCCAGATTGTTCCAGGTACAGTTGGACTTCGTTTCTCAAGCAGAGTCTACCCTACATTGGGAATCTAGATTCTCCATGATGTCTACTTGTCCAGGAAAGACCACTGCATCTTTCAGATTCCTGTCACTCAGAATTTGGTGGGTGGTTCTCAATCTAAAGTTCCTATTCAGATAAGAATTGTGTCTATCAGAGTTAAAAATCAGTGGTTGACCAGAAACTATCTCCAAATGATAACCACTAGCAAATGAAAAATTCGTTTCCTCTAATGAATTCTCACTAGGTAGACAAACTACTCTTAAGGCCAGGCCCCATGCAAAGCACAAAATGAACTCAATGTTATTTTTGGAAGGGTTTTTTTGTCACATAATGCTTTATCTGGGCATTTCTTTTTCTATTTTCTTTTCTTACCCAACAAGTCTTTTGCTTACATATTATGGTTTCTAATTTTGTGTTTTTAGGGCATTTCTGTGTGTGCCAATGTGTGTCTCTGTGTCTATATGTGTTTCTTGTGTGTTTTTTTTTTCCTTTGGCTCTTTGTTTTTCTGTTCACTTGTTTGTTTTATCTTATTCATGTTTGCTTGCGTTTTTTTGTTTTTGTTGTTGTTATTTTAAGATGCCTGTTTGTTTTCTGCTGAGAAAGAACAAGAAAGGATTGTAGATTTGGGTGACTGGAGAGGAGAGGAGGATCTGAGAAGAGTTGGGGGAGGGGAAACCACAATTGGAATTTATTGTATGAAAAAAAAAAATCTAGTTTCAACTAGAAAAAAAAAAAAAGGTGGTTGAACCAGGCATGGTAATGCACACCTTTACTCACAGCACTCAGGGAGCAGAAGCAGGAGGATCTCTGAGTTTGAGAAATCCTGGTCTACAGAGAAAGTCCCAGGACAGCCAGGACCACACAGATAAATCCTATCTCAAAAAAACTAGAAAGAAAGAAAGAAAGAAAGAAAGAAAGAAAGAAAGAAAGAAAGAAAGAAAGAAAGAAAGAAAGAAGAAAGGAAGGAAGGAAGGAAAGAAAGAAAGAAAGAAAGAAAGAAAGAAAGAAAGAAAGAAAGAAAGAAAGAAAGAAAGAAAGAAAGAAATAGATGGTGGTTTGTCAGAGAACAAAAATGAAGGATTTGGATTTGCAATACCTGTAGAGGACACTGGACAGGGGAGTAGGGGTAGGTGCTGGACAGCTGGCTCAGTAGTTAAAAGAGATTTCTGTGCAATCATAAAGACTAAAGACTACAATTCATATCCCAGCACCCACGTGGCAATCCAGGCATCCTGTACACACCTGTGACAGCAGCCCAGCAAAGAACAGAAACAGATGGTCTCTAGGACTGGCCAACCTCCAGCTTAACTGAGAAAACACTCCCAGGGCTCAGGGAGAGACCTTGCCTCAGAGGAATAGGCAGAGAGTGGTAGAGGAAAGCACTCAACCTTCTAATCTTTGCACATGTACATAGCCAATCACACATGTGCACATATATTCACTACAAATTAACTAATTGTGCTTTTTGTAAAAGGATATTGAGGGCAGGGAAAGCATGTGGTGGAGAAAAACATGTAAAATGATATGTTAAATGGATTGATATAGAATAATAGTGTCCTGTTTATTCTTGAAGGCAAGCAATTAGAAATGAAAGGTATGTTTCTCTAGCCCTTCCTGTTCACATGAATCTAAAAGGTATAACTTTAAAACACATATGTCTGTCATGACTGGCAGAACCAACCCCCAGAAGCTGAATCTGAACAAAGAAATGAGGAGGCTTGGAGGAAGGCAGGCCAGTGATGGACAGGTCATGGCAACCTGCAAACCAGTGATTGACAGGTCATGGCTATCTGAAGGCCAATGATGAACAAGTCATGGCCATCTGCAGGCCAGTGATAGGCAAGTTATGGCTGTGTGTAGGCCAACAATGGACAGGTCATGGCCACCTGGAGGTCAATGATAGACAGGTCATGACCACTTGCAGGCCAGTGATGGACAGGTCATTGCTGTGGGATAGTCTGTATGTCAAATTACTCTGATTGGTCAATAAATAAAACACTGATTGGCCAGTGGCTAGGCAGGAAGTATAGGTGGGACTAACAGAGAGGAGAAAAGAGAGAACAGGAAGGCGGAAGGAGTCACTGCCAGACACCACCATGACAAGCAGCATGTGAAGATGCCGGTAAGCCACGAGCCATGTGGCAAGATATAGATTTATGGAAATGGATTAATTTAAGCTGTAAGACTAGTTAGCAAGAAGCCTGCCACAGCCATACAGTTTGTAAGCAATATAAGTCTCTGTGTTTACTTGGTTGGGTCTGAGCAGCTGTGGGACTGGCAGGTGAGAGAGATTTGTCCTGACTGTGGGCAAGGCGGGAAAACTCTAGTTACAGGTCATGGCTATCTGTCTGTTCTAGAACAGGAACTTTCCCAGACCCTATAGTGAAGGATGGGTGGTGGAGATGCCAGGAGTCTAACACAATGAAATAATATCTAGTGAGTAGATACCCAGCATGAACCTAGAGCTGTAGAAATACAGAGGGAGCAAGATGCTGTTTCTCTCCCTGAAATTCATAGTCACCTAGCCAGAACCAGATCAGAATAAGACATGAGTGAATCCCGTCTTGCAGATTATCACAAGCCAGTGATACCAAACCTCTAGTCAAAAAGGCAATAGTCTGTTTTTAAATATAAACAGACACCCCCAAGAGCAGAGTCTCCTATGGCCAGTGTGCTGAATGCACACCACATGAAATCACATATTGAACCCCTCCGAGCCGTAATTACCATATCTGTTTTGCAAAGAGGTACTTTCTTCATTATACAGTTGAGGGGATTGAATGAGCCAATACTGGCAGAGCATTTGAAAGAGCCCTGGATACACAGAAAGTTCTGAATGAATGTTAGCTGCTTTGATTCTGAAGGCTCCTAATGAGGAAGTCTTATTATTACATAGCAATCAGTGTCTTAATCGGAATGAGCAAGAAGATACACGATTATGAGAATGAAATGGGGGGAATGAGTAAGGAATTGAAATTCATCAGCAGCAAGAAGCCATTTTTCATCACTATGGGGTACTGCCTGATGGCAGTTCAGACCAGGGAATGGTAGGAGGCAGAGTACCTGAATGTAGGCTCACACAGTCAGGCTGGCATAGGCAAGGCTGCCTCTGCCTCACCCTAATTCTGAGCTCTCTAAGTCCTCCCCCGGTGTCCTCCTCTTGGGACTGCTTTTCAAGTTTTCTTGATGTCCCTTTTGATAGAACAGGAGAGCATATGGACTAATAGATGACCGAAACAAGAAGTTAGCCAACAAGAGGTCTAGACTCATGCTCTGTAACTACTTTACACCCAGGGCTAGGTGGTGCAGGCCTGCGATCCCAGGCCCAGCCTCTTACACTGTGGGGGCTGAGAAGAACTTGGTCACAGGAAAATGTTTCTGAACACACCACGATGTAAAATCAGTTGAAAATCAAAAGTGTAATGATTTCAATGTGTTTCTGAAAGCGCTCACCCGAGCTACATCCTGGGACTTTATTGCATGCAGCCTTGGTTCTCAGTACACTTGTTCACCTTGTGTATGACGTCGCCCCAT